CTCCCTCCCGCCCACCCCCCATCATTATTAGCTGTAAAGAGCTTGAGCTGGGCACACCACACCACCCTCACCTCCCCTATTTCCTAGCATTGGCTTGACCAACCAACCTTCTATATGCCAGAGGAATTGATGTTTTGAGACTCTCTCAACATGCTGGCACAGTTAAAGGGGAGAGAAAGGGCAAAATGTTGTGTCACTTGAAAGACTGACAAACTTGTTTCAGCGTGAGCTTTCATGGATTATTCATTTCTTCAGACATTTTGATTTGCTAGGGTGCAATCAGACGGAGCAGTAGCTTAGGTTTTGGGCCATTTGTGGCATGGTCCTATGCAAGCTAATTTCTGGCAATCAGACAAAGAACAGGATATTGTGAAACTCCCTGCCCCATGCCCAATCCAGACCTTTTTTTGGTCCAGCAGCAGGGATTCTTTCCTTTGGAGCTGGGGCTGGAGCAATTCCTGTACCCACGGAAAAGTGGCTTTAAGGAGATCGCTCCCGTCTGATTGTACCCACAGTCTTTACAGGGCCACAATTGTTTGTCCTTGTTTTCTTTCTCCAACTGCTTTTAATTTTGCTAACATGCCCTCAATAGTCCATGGCTTTTGATTATTCTCAGCCCCCTGTGGACTTTGTGGGGGAGATGTCCTCCTGAATGTATTTTTTGGCCCACTTGTACACATCTTCCGGGTTTACTGGAACACAAGGACTTCCACTTTGTTGCTCAGTGGCTCTGCTCTTTCCACCTGTAATCACTTGCTCCGTCATTTCACGATGAGAGGCAGCAATTCTTTTTCTCAGAGGTAGGTGGTGTGCAAATTGGCTTATTTTTTATACGCACAAACACTGTCTTTTTTTTTAAAATGATGCTACTAAGATTAGTTTCGTTCAGGAAAATCAGAGTCCCAGGCATCACTCTACACAGTATCCTCTTTCAAGAGCTGTTGAATAAAGAAATTTAAAAAAATCAGCAGTTGCCGTTAGTGTCCCCCCAATCCTAGTTTCATTCTGATACACCTTAAATGAAAGCAGCTTGAGTAATCCTGGGTGTGTCCCGTCCATGTTTATCCTCTTCTTCAGCAGCCCTAGCTAAAAGGAAAAGCAGGACACACCTTGAGTTGCTTAAGCTGCCTCCATTCAAGGCTGATCAAAACAGGAGTGAGGATGGAGTTGTGGCAGGCTAATGCAGTTCTACAGCTGCCTAGCATCCACTGGAAGCTTATCTAGCATCTTCTTTGAATTTCAGTTGCATGTATATAGTTTTGGAGAAGCAGTGTGGCGCAGTGAATAAAGTGTCATTCTAGCACTCAGGAGACCTGAGTTCAAATCCCCGCTTGGCCATGGAAACTCACTGGTGGAGTGGGGGGCTGGAACAGTAAACCACTCCTTGAACGTATCTCATTTATCCCAAAAACTCTACTAAACCCTAATCCTAAAACTGCTGAACTGCCCCTGTCTAGGAACAGTGGGGGCCCTGTCTAGGAGGTACAGTGGGGAATTGAACTCCCAACATCTGGCTAAACCAGTTAACTATCCAGCAGTTCTACTAAGGTCACCATAAGTCAGAGGCAACCTGACGGCACATAACAGCAACATATATTGCTTAGGAATGAACAACATTCCTGGTGTTATTTGACTGCAACTCCATCTCTAGGCAGCATAGCTGGATGCTGGATAAGGGGAACTGTAGTGTGAAAACATCTGGAGGGCCACATGTTGCTCACCCTGGTACGGTCTTCACATCATAAAAATAAAAGTAGCTCAATATCCAACAAACGGGGAAAACACTTTTTAAAAACATTGCAAAGATTATACCTTTCCTTCTTTTTCTGGCAGGCCTCTCAGGATTTTGACAGCAAAATACAAGGAGAAATTGTGGAGCCACAATAAATGTATGAGGAAAGAAAGAGTATCAGCTCAGTGGAAGTATGTTGTACGGAGGTGTTCCCAGATGTTCCCCAGGTAGCAGGTGATGGGGAAAGGCTCCGGTTGAGACCCAAAAAGCTGCCATCCATCACTGTAAGTGGGCTCGCCTAGTACTTTTCAGATGATGATGATGGACATCAACTCTACTCAGCATGAAGGGATGTCATGGGATGCTTGGTTAGTGGTGAGAGTAGTTGGATTCCAAAGCATCTGGAGGTCACTGGTGTTGTGAAAACTGGAGAAAACAAGTTAGATGTAAGAGATGGATAAAAGCAAAAGAACCGTCTCATGTCATTTGCTCATGGATCACTCTTGCAGGTGTGGCCTGTTTCTTCACACTGTGCCCTTCTCCCAAAGTTCTGTTACTTTGCTCAGAATGCGTGAGCAAAGTAAATGCTGACATTACATATCATCAGGTAGAAGAGAGAGATGCTGGCCTAGCACTACTCAGGAAATAAAAGAGAAAGCAAAATATTTATTACACTTAACGCTCTATCTTTGTAAATGTTGATCACAGTGTTGCTTCGTCTGTCCTCTTTTATCCTCACAACCCTGTAAGCAAGCTGAAAAGACATGCGTGACTAGCCCAGGACCATGTCGGAAATTGTGTGGCTTGGAATTAAATCCCAGTTTTGCCCATCCTAAACCAAAATCCAAGTCAGTGAATGTTTAATTTTTTATTTTCCTCACAGCCCACACGAACATGTTCCTTTCTCTTCCATCATGATCCAGCATTCAAACCACCACATAAAACTCGCTCCATAAGGCTGTTTATTGGTATGCTTATAAAGTAATTGCAATATTGTTATATCTGGACTCAAACCCAAAAATTGATATTCGTGTGCAGATTTGTGCGGACTCAAACCCCAAAATTGATATTCGTGTGCAGATTTGTGCTTCTGGACCACAACTCCCATAATTCCCCAGGTAACTATGTTGTCTGGGGAACTCTGGGAACTGGAATCCAAAGGCACACATCTGTACACCATGTCCTTTCCCTACAATGTTTCCTGGTGTCTGCTGTGCCACTGATCTCATTTGTGTATCAGGAAACGGGTAGGATAAAACCAGTTGTAGGGTGAGTCCCTTAATTATCTCTTGTTTTGCTTTGCTGACATCATCTAATTAATTGCTATGGAACTTGCTGCCTCCTGGCCACTCCCAGCTTTATCCCCAAAGTGGAAATGCTGAGGAGAGAG